CCAGTGCCCCTCCCTGCCCTGTTTGCAGACTGGTTCCATGTCTGCCCTTCCCAAGTGCCCAGGACCCTCTGGGATGGCTATGGCTTTTCCAAGGGGTTTGAGAGAGGTCTCACAATAACACTGCCCAGCCTTCTCAACATCTCTGACACCAAAGGCATTTTCCACATCCCTCAATTCCAGGTCAGTGCCCAGAACTCAGCACAGCCCTGTCCAAGTCCTTGGAGTGGTTCAGAAGGGAGGCAGCTCTGATTTCTCCCCACAGACCAGAGTACTTAATTTAAAAAATGTACAGAGAATAAGCTTTTAAAAAGTCATTGTGCTATAAAGGAAAGGTAAATTTTGATGTAGAAGTATTATGAGTAGTGAAATTAATTTCTGAAATACATTATAGCAGTAGAAAAACAGTATAACAGTAGCAAAAAATTATGAAGAGGAGTAAAACAGATTATAGTTACTTCCATTCTGAGTACTCTGCAGAAGAAAGGCACAGTTTATTGCTTCAGAAAAAATCCAGTCAACCCTTTACTCAGGGCATCCTTGAGCTCCTGGTTCCTCAGGCTGTAGATGAGGGGGTTCAGGGCTGGAGGTACCAACGTGTACACAGCTGAAAAGGAGAGATCCAATGCTGTGGAGGAGATGGAGGGGGGCTTCAGGTTACCAAATATGCCAGTGCTGATAAACAGAGACCACAGCCAGGTGAGGGAGGCAGGTGGAAAAGGCTTTGTGCTGTCCCTGCTCAGAGGGGATCCTCAGCACAGCCCTGAAGATCTGCACATAGGAGAAAACCATGAACACAAAACAACCAAAAGCTAAAAAAACACTGATCATGATAAGCCAAACTTCCCTGAGGTAGGAGAGTGAACAGGAGAGTTTGAGGATGTGTGGGATTTCACAGAAGAACTGGCCCCGAGCATTGCCCTGGCACAGGGGCAGGGAAAATGTATTGGCTGTGTGCAGCAGAGCATTGAGAAAGCCACTGGCCCAGGCAGCTGCTGCCATGTGGGCACAAGCTCTGCTGCCCAGGAGGGTCCCGTAGTGCAGGGGTTTGCAGATGGACACGTAGNCTGATGATGAGGTTGTTGGCCAGGAGGGCAGCCAGGGAGATGGCCAGGAAGAGGCAGGAGTGCAGGAGCTGCAGCTGCCGCGTGTCTGCCAATGGCAGCAGGAGGAAGTGGCTGATGGAGCTGCTGTTGGACATTTGCTGTCTGTGGACATCAAGGACTGCTGAAAGACATTAACAAGTTGGGAGAGATTCCCTTGAGTCAATTCTTTGCAATTAAATTATGAATCCTCTCAAAACTACTTCTCTTCCTGTGGGAGAAGTTTTGTTAGCATTTTTATTTTTGAGCTTCGTTTGGTGCTTCTGAGTTACTGCCTCATATTCAGCATTGCTCTTAGCCTGAACAATGGGGAGGCCACTGGGAAGACAGGGCACCCTGTGCCCCAGTGCAGTCAGACCTTGTGGTCCAACACCGGTGTCCTTTGCTCATTACACTGCTCTTGATTTCATGGTAATCACACTTCAAATGTGCTGGAAAAATAAAGTGGATTTCTGAAAGCTCCAGTTTAACAGTCAATCTCTTTAAACCCTTTTCTCTTTCTCTAGGCACATGAAGAGGGAGGGAAACTAAGGGTTGGTCTGGTTCTGCTGCCTGGAGTTGTTCCTTCTGG